CACGGTGTGCGTACACTACATGGCTCACGCCAAACAGATTGCACTGCATCACTTACACCTCGTAGCTCATACCACATGGACGGCACATGGAGCGCACCACATAGTTTACACCGGATAGCTCACATATCAATAACTAACACCACACATGTATATATATATATATATATGTGCGTGTAGGTTGCACCGCATAGCTTACACCACATAGCTCACACCAGATACATTGCACTGCCTATATTGCCCCACAGAGATTGCACCGCATAGCTTACATCTCATAGCTCACACCACATATATTGAATCAGATAGAATCCACCACAAAGCTTAAACCACATAGCTCATACCACATAGATTGCCCCCAACCGAGTACCCCACGTAGATTACACCTCATAGATCACACTACACAGCTAACAGATCCACAGTGCAACGCCTCACTGCTTGGGGCCCGCTGGCAAGCATAGATTTTCATACGTATTGCCAAAGCGGAATCGTGACGCACGCCCAAGACCAGCAAGGAAGCGGGGCAGCCCCTTGGACGGCCCCAAAAAGATCAAAAACGGCCCCAAGTAGCTCACACCAGGAGAAACACGACGACAACGACGACGATAACGACGACGATAACGACGACGACGACGACGACGACGACGACGACGACGACGGCGACAAGGGATCCCTCGACGACTGGGGCAGGGGGGCCAGCAGCAGTGGCCGAAGGCCTGCGCAAACGTATATTTGAAAATCCCTTTTTGTTCGCTCCTCCTACGGTCATGTTCAGTCACGCCGGCAAAAGTTGGGGCCCAAAGGTCGTAGATAATGATGTGTCAGCTCTGGCAAGCACGATTCAACATCTTGGAGGCTGGAAACTGGGCACCAACACAGAACAGGGGGTGGCGCCCACAGGGGGAGGATGACCCTTGATTTCGGTGTTGGTGGTCATCTTTCGGCCACCTGGGAAGCCCGAAGATTACCACCATCACGGAGATCGGGATGATCTTCCCTCGGTGGAGGCACTCCGTCGCTACTGGTGCTGGTGCCATCCTATAGGCATCCGAACATCTGCCACCGTGGCGCGAAGCACTGAGTGGAGTGCCGTCAGCACCCCTGGTGTCCCAACATTGCACGTCTTTTACCAGCCTCGAACTCATCCCTATCCCTAAGATTGACACGCCACAAGGCGATGACAGTCTTAGGGATTCGCCCTCCAAAAAAGTAAGGGAATCCCTAAGATTGGCATCGTGATGAGGAGATGCCCAGCATAGGGATAGGGATATGCTCCAGGCTGGTAAGTCTTATTCAAACAGAAAGCTGTCCCCCAACTCGCGGGCGCTCCCGCGCGCTCTTGGGGTGCCCCGCGCGATTCTTCCAAATACGTCGGGGGCGTTTCTGGAGGGTCAACGATTCCCGCGTGCATGCCCCGTAACTCGGGAGCGGCCAAGAGGGGGCTGTCCAAGAAGGGGGGGTGCAAATCATGGCCAGCGGCATGTGCACGGCCCAGCGGGGGGGCCAGGGACGTAATGAAACAAGAAGAGGCGACCTGAGATCTGGGGAGATATCATGGCCCCCGCCATGATATCCACCCCCCCCCAGTCATCACCCCCCTCTTTGCCGCCCCCGAGTAACGGTCTCGGGAGACCGTACTGGAATCGTGCCGGGACTCTCTCGGGGTGCCCTTGGGTAGCTTTTGAGCCCCTAGGGGCCACCCCAAGTGGGCGCTCATACACTTGGAAGGCTCGGTCGCTGCACGATCTTCATCACATTTCGGCGGCGAGCGAGGGGGGGAAGTGACACAAGGCCCTCTCAGAAGGCGGCGGGACTTCTCAGAAGCCCTCGCGCCTTCTGAGAGGTGTTTTGTGTCTTCGGGGCAGGCTTGGAAAACTTCTCAGAAGGCCAGGGGACTTCCGAACCTCCTGAGAAGGCCTTCTCCTTCTCGCTTCCCCCCTCTTCGGACGCCCGAAATGGGTACGGAAAAATGGGTACAATGCCCAACAACCGCGGCGGCGTGGACAGCGAATCCTGTTCAGAATGAACAGGGACTGCTGTTGGGCACTGTGCCCGTTCTTTCCGTGCCCATGTCGGGCGCGCAGACCCTCGCCCGCCGCCGCCCATGGGCTCGTCGCTGCGAAGAGCGCCCCGGGAAAACACCAGAGGAGCTCCCACTGCGGCCCCCGAGCCCCCAAACACGGGGCCCCGAGACCCCCAGGACGTCCCCGCGAGGGGCCCGAAGCGTGGGCAGCTCGAAGATGGCCCGGGAGCCGTCCCTCTCCAAGATGGCCCCCGACCGAGCCCGCCCGCAGGCCCCCACAGCAGCCCCCCGAGGCCTCCAGAGGCCCACAGGAGGCCCCAGTGGACCCCAAGACCGAGATGCCTCCGAGGGGCCTCGGCCCCACGCCCGAGGCACGGAGGCCGGATGGGGGCGACAGCGAATGAGCATCATCGGCGGCGTGCCGCGGAAGAAGGAAGAACGACAGGGAGAGCCGGCTCAAATAGAGGCCTCCTAGATGGGATAGGAGTAGATGGGGTCGAGGAATCGCGCTGCATCGCCGATGCATCGGCGATGCATCGGCGATGCAATGGCGATGCACCGGCGATGCCCGCGATGCATTGGCGCCGTCGGCGTGGCGAAAGTCGGGCTCCGCATCGAGCCGCATCGTCGATGCATCGGCGATGCGGCGCGATCCTTCGACCCCATCTACTCCGACCCCATCTGGGAAGCCTAGATCAAAATCACACGGTCGACCCACGCTCTCTTTTTGAGCACCGGGCCATCTGGATGTTGCGCCGCACAGCGACGCCGTCAAGAGCAACAAAAATGTCGCGCATTCGCCGAGCGTGCGCGCGCGTCTAGGCTTCTTCCACTTGGTCGGAACTAGAGGCCTCCTACAGTCGGGGCCTTGACCCAAGGAACCCTAAATAAGGAACGGGTCCCCTCTTTTCCACAAGTTGAACTTCGATTTCCCATCGAAAACCAAAAGGAAAACCAAAGGCAAGCTGTGAAACACTTAAGGAACACCGAGCCCCTCCCCAACGAAAAGCGTTCCTTCTTCAAGGCCCCGACTGTAGATGGGGTCGGAGCAGATGGGGTCGGAGGATCGCGCCGCATCGCCGATACATCGGCGATGCATCGGCGATGCCTCGGCGACGTCGGCGACGCATCGGCGACGTCGGCGTGGAGAACATCGGGCCTCACATCGAGCCGCATCGCCGCTGCATCGGCGATGCGGCGCACAGCTCCGACCCCATCTGGGAGGCCTAGAGAAACCCTGCCCTGAGATCTGACGACGAGGAAACAAAAGGAAAAAACATCGTGCAACCCACGACCAGAACCCTACACCCCAGCCAGCGGAACTCCGAGTTTCTGAATAAGCGTGGGGGGGGCGTCACCCCCGCCGACAGCCCCACATCGACCCCCGTCGCGGGTAATTAGCCACCGCGCGCCGAAGGCGATCCGACCCCCGTCGCGGCGCGACGACAAGGCGAGGTTGACCCCCGTCGGGGGGTACCCCCACGCTTATTAAGAAACCCCGAGTAGGCATTCCTGGAGCCAGATCGGCCTGTGAGGGCCTCGGGGCCCAGGGCCCCTCAAAGAGCCGCCTGGCTCGAGGCCCCGCAAAAAATACCCGAGACGTACCCCACCGAGTGCTCTTTGTGAGCGAACACCTTGAACGACACGCAGCATCCTTCGGAGGAGGAGGAGGAGGGAAAGGCGCCCATACCTCTAATTACCCTTCGCCCGCCTTCCCTTTTGGGGGCCTCGCGGGAGGCCCTCGTCGCCACCGCTGGATTCGCAGTGAAATTCTTGTCAGAACGCACCCTAGGAGAGGTCTGGGGAGTAACGGTATCGGTACCTTTTGGTTGATTCCCCAACAACTCTTGCGCACAAAAAGGCCGACAATTCTGCAGTTGGCAGCCTCGCTGGAAGCGAGGTTCCCGTCTGGGTGCGCGTGGCCCCCGATTCCGCTGGACCGCCCAGGAGCTCACGGAAATGGTGGCAGCTGCTGCCACCCAGGGAGCAGCGAGGTCTCGTCTGGGTGCGCGTGGCCCCCGACTCCGCTGGACCTCCCAGAAGCCCACGAATATGGCGACAATTGCGCAGCCCGCAGCCACCCAGGGAGCAGCGAGGTTCCCGTCTGGGTGCGCGTGCCCCCCGACTCCGCTGGACCTCCCAGGAGCCCACAAAAGTGGCGACAAGTGTACAATTCGAAGCCACCCTTGGAGCAGCGAGATCTCGTCTGGGCTCACGTGACCCCGACTCCACTGGACCCTCCCAGGAGCCCACGAAAGTGGCGACAAATGCACAGTTCTCAGCCACCCACGGAGCAACGAGGTTCTCGTTTGGGTGCGCTTGCCCCCCGACTCCGCTGGACCTCCCAGGAGCCCACGAAAGCGGCGACAGTTGCACAGCCACCCAGGGAGCAGCAAGGTTCCCAGTCTGAGGGCGCGTGCCACCCGACTCCGCTGGACCGCCCAGGAGCCCTCAAGAGTGGTGGCAGCTGCGCAGTTCGCAGCCACGCAGGGAGCAGCGAGGTCTCATCTGGGTGCGCGTGGCCCCCGACTCCACTGGACCTGCCATGAGCTAACGAAACTAATGACAATTGCGCAGTTCACAGCCACCCAGGGAGCAGCGATGTTCCTGTCTGGGTGCGCGTGGCCGCGGTCTCCGCTGGACATTCCAGGAGCCCACGAAAATGGCGACAGTTCCACGGTTCGCAGCCACCCAGGGATTCCCGTCTGGGTGTGCGTGGCCCCCGACTCCGCTGGACCTCCCAGGAGCCCACGAAAGTGGCGACAGTTCAACAGTGCACAGCCACCCAGGTAACAGCACAGGAGGAGGCAGAAGGAGGGGGAGGAGGGAGGTGGAGTGGAGACCACGGTGCTCTATCCAAAGCGAGAACCCAACGCAGGAGGGTTGGGAAAGAAACGACGCCAGGATCTCAGGGCGCGTGCCACCGGAAATCCACTCGCGTTCGTTTCCTTGCCCAGCCTGTGTCGGTCACAGAACGGCCCTCCTGCAGAGCCCACTCGCGAGGTACAGTCGCGCAGAGCATCTCGCCATCCAGCCTGGCGGGAGCCGTGGCCGCAGAGGAATGACAGCAGCTTGCGATAACTCAACAACGGAAGCTGACCTAGGAAAAGATCATCATTCGCTCGTGCCTTTCCGCATTAAGGAGAAGGGGATGGGAAACGAAGACGGCAAGATCCCCGCTACAGCTCTCGCACACCAAAGAGAACGCGGCGCACACCTCATACGCGAAACACAAGTTCGCGGGCACACACACACACACATCACACACATCACACACACACACACACATGGACGCTCGCACGGAATCCGCCACCGTGCCCTCTGGAATTATCCCAAGGTCTGCCTGGCAGGTGTTTTCGAATTCCACTACGGGGCCGCCCCTCCATCGACAAGCAAGCTCTCACATGTAATACCTAATCCCCCATTCCACGCTTGCACGTTAGAGGATGGTGCACTTCCGGCATGGCAGCCAATGCCTGAACCCCCATTCCACGCGTGTCCGCTCGAGGATGGTGCACTTCCCGCATGGCAACTAATCCCATAACCCCCATTCCAAGCCTGCTCGTTCGAGCATGGTGCACTTCCCGCATGGCAGCTGATGCCTGAACCCTCATTTCATCCGCGCCCGCTTGAGGAGTATGCACTTCCCGCATGGCGGCTGCTCACTCCTAGGCCCCTCATCCCACGCTCACCCGCTCGAGGATGGTGCCCTTCCCGCATCCCCAGGCGCTGCTCCAGAGGGTTCCAGGGCCTCCCAAGCAACGATCCCTCGTTAAACACGATGGATACGCGTCCTGGGCTTCCAAGACGGCCCGTGCAGGCAGCCAAGGACGCCAAGATAGCCCGAGATGCCTCGAAGTCGGCCCAGGATGATCCCAAGGCGGCCGAACATTGATTCAAGACGGCCCAAGAGGCCTCCAAGAGGGTGCAAACTGGCCACAAGAGGACCTCCAACAGGGTTCGAAGCCATGGGTTTTTGAAAGATGGTCGCATTATCGCTTTTCGGGCGACCGTCAGCTCAAGACGGCCAAAGAGGACTCCACGATGGCCCAAAAGGCATCCTAGACGGCCCCAAGAGGGCCCAAAAAGACCTCCCGTAGGACCCAATACGGCCTGAGACGGCCCCTGGACTGCCCAAGACGACGCCAAGACGACCCCACGACGGCCACCAAACAACCACCATACGGCCAAAAGGGCCGAAAGACGGCCCAAGAGGTCCCCACGCTGCCGTAAGAGGGCTCCAAGACGGCGGAAGGGGGCCCCGAGAAAAACCCAAGACTGCCACGCAGGAGGCCAAGACAGCCCCAAGACGGCCCAAACGACTTCCATCATAATCATCATCAGCATCATCCTCATCCTCATCATCATCATCATCATCAGCAGCAGCAGCATCATCAGCAGCAGCATCATCATCAGCATCATCATCAGCATCATCATCAACATCATCATCATCATCCTTATCCTCATCCTCATCCTCATCCTCATCATCATCGGTATCATCAGAATCATCAGCAGCAGCATCAGCATCAGCAGCATCATAAACATAATCATCATCATCAGCAGCACAATCAGCATCATCATCATGACCATAATATTACTCATCATCGCCATCATCACATTAATCAGTATCATCCCCATCATAATCAGCATCAGCAGCATCATCATCAGCATCGTCATCATCAAAACAACCATCAGCATCTTCGTTAAGATCTTCATCATCATCAGCATGATCATCAGCATCATCAGTATCACCATCATCCTCATCATCGGCATCAGAATCATCCTCATCAGCAGCATCATCCTCATCATCATCATCATCATCGTCACCAGCATCAACATCAGCATCGGCAGCAGCAGCAGCATCATCATCAACATCACCATCAGCATCATCATCTTTATTAGCATCATCATTAGCATCATCAGCAACATCAGAATCAGCATCAGCATCAGCATCCTCATCATTACTATCAGTATCAGAATCATCACCGTCAGCACCAGCATCAGCATCATCATCATCATCAGCATAATCATCATCATCAGCATCAGCATGACCATCATTGGCATCATCAAAGTTACCATCAGCAATCACCATCATCAAAACAATGATCATCACAAATATCAACTTCATCAGAATCGTCAGCATCATCATCAGCATCATCATCAGCATCATCAGCTTAGCATCATCATTATCAGCAGCAGCATCAGCAGCATTAGCACCATCTTTATCATCATCTACAAAAACAGCATCATCACCAGCACCGTCACCATCATCATCACCAGCGCCATCAGCATCATCATCAGCATCATCAGCATCAGCATCAGCATCACCATCATCGTCATCATCAACCTCATCGTATTCGTCAGCCACATCATCATCAGCAGCAGAATCATCAGCAGCATCATCATCGTCAGCCTCATCCTCATCATCAGCATCATCATCGGTATTGTCAGCATTATCATCATCAGCAGCAGCAGCATCATCAACATCAGCAACATCAACATCAGTATCAGAATCATCATCTGCATCGTCATCATTATCATCATCGTCACCATCAGCATCGTCATCATCATCATCATCATCATCCTCATCATCGTCAGCATCATTATCAGCATCATCATCCCAACAATCACCATCATGATCACCATCATCAGCGTAATCGTCATCATCAACACCACCATCATCATCAGCATCAGCATCAGCATCAGCATCATCATCATCATCATCATCACCACCATCATCATCATCATCATCATCATCGTCATCATCATCATCAGCTTCATCTTCATCTTCATCAGCATCGTCATCATCATCAGCACCATCATCATCAGCAGTAGCAGCATCATCAGCATTGTCGTCGTCACGTTCATCGCCATCGTCATCGTCATCGTCATCGTCATCGTCGTCAGCATCATCGTCATCATCAGCATCAGCAGCATGGTCATCGCCATCATCATAATCATCCTCATCAGCAGCATCATCCTCAGCATCATCATCATCAGCATCATCATAATCAGCATCAGCAGCATGGTCATCGCCATCATCATTATCATCATAATCATCATCATCATCATCATCATCATCATCATCATCATCATCATCAGTGACAGCCTCCCGTGCCCTCTCGAACAGTCGCCACCCAGAACACTGGGCTGGCGCGGTGGCGGGAATTGCCGCAGGCAGATGGATAAAGAGGTCATGAATAAAGAGGTCCACAGTCTCTATTTACTCCTGCCTCCTCCTCATTCCTCCTTCTACGCTCTCATCGACCGGTCGACCGGTGATCTGTCACCAAGCTTCTTGGGGACCTCTTGACCCCTCCTGGGGATCTCCTAGGGCGAAGATCTCGGGTTCTGGGTTGTGGGTTAGAGGCCTCTTGGAAGTTCCTCTGGAATTCGTGGGAGGCTTCAACTTCCCAGGGGCCTCTTGAAGGCAGTTTTGGAGGCCTGTTTGGGGTCCGTTTGGGGTGCTCGTGGGGCGTCTTTTTGAAGCCACTTGGGGCCTCGTGGGGCCTCTAGGGGGCCTCTAGGGGGCCTCTTGGGCTGTGTTGGGGGCCTCTTGGGGCCTCCTGGAGGCCTCTTGGGGCGGAAGGCTCGAATTGTCGGTTCGTGTTCCCCCTCTGAAGGCCCTCTTGAGGCGGTCTTGGGGCCCTCTTGGGCGATCTGAAGCGCCTCTTGGGCGGTCTGGGGGCACTCTTGGGCCGTCTTGGGACTCTCTTGCGCCGTCGTGGCGCCCTCTTTGGGTGGGTGCTTCTTGGGCCGTTTCGAGCTGATTTCTGGGGCCTCGTGGGCTGCCTTGGACCGTCTGAAGCATGCAACAGCGAGAACACGAAAAACCTTCCAAAACAACAGAAAAAACTACCTTGTTCGCCTCCTGAGTGCCTCGTGGGAGTCCTTTTGAAGGCATCTTGGCTGTCTTGAAGCCTTCTTGGGCTGTCTTCAAGCCATGTTTTTTTTTGTTGTTTGCTTGCAAGCCGCGCCTTATGCGAGCCATATGATACATCTTTCCACAAAAATACACGCGCCGTCTGAAGGGCACGCATAGGCCCCCTTTCATAGCCGACACCTATCTCTACGCCGTCGTTATACTTGTCCGCCGTCGTTCTTGTGACGACAGCGCGAATAAGTCCGCCGTCGTTCTTTGTGTCGACAGGGCGAATACGTCCGCCGTCGTTCTTTGTGACGACAACGCGAACGAGTTGCCAAGACGCGTTCAGAGATTCGACCACCGTGACTGACACTCGAATTAAAAGAATGATAAATCCTAACAGCAATGCGAATAAGAGTACTGACGTAATGCAACATGTATACTGCCAAGCACTTCTAAGCTCTGTTGCATAAGGATGCGCGCTGTTCCAAGGGGATGCCAGATTGTTCAGCGTGGCTCTCTTCGGAACCAAACCGACACAGAGCGTCCTCAGATTTCCAGAGCGTAGAATGATGCAAAAGCCACGACCTTCTGCCTCGTGCTGTACTGCGTGGAAGAACCATCTCCGGAATGCTGCGCTGTTGGGCACCAAGTCTCGCTGCGTGTTGTATCCACCGAATCGGAATCAGTCTGAAACCGAAACGCGTATGGAAACTGCGAGCCGCAGCCCCGACCGCTCACGCTGCTCTTCGGAGACCACCTCCATTGCGAGGTCCATTCCCATATATATCCGATTGCGGAGGGCTTGTGCTCGCAGACCATGGAGAGCCAGATAGTGGCCTCCACACAATTCAGGCTCGTCATGGTTCTGCAGTCCTCCACTGCTCCCCGGCTTATCTCAGAAAAATCTGCCTTCGACACTGATGACCGGGACTCCCAATCCTTCACTTTTCGCCCGGACGTGCTTGTGAAGGCTGTGCGGCAGGCAGCTCCAACAGGAGCGGGGCCACTGCCATACTCAATCACGGTTACATTCTCGTCCAACAGGTTCAAGAACGGCACCTCTGCCTGCGCACTATGCAGCTCTTCGCGAAGGACCGCGTACGCCTGGTCGATCTGCTTCCCCACACCGTGCGCGAATTCCATGCGCAGACCAATGTCCAAGTGGTCAACAATTGCCAATTGCATGTCCTGTAAGTCAACACTCATCACGGAAGCTTCGAGAAGTTCAAGCATGAGCTTCAATGCCAGCCACCTCTCCGTGCCATCAAAATCGACATCGCTCGAGTCGTCGTCACGCGTTCGCACCTTGTCTACGAATTTGCCGAGGAGACTTCTGGTGCTGTATTGCGTCGGCATGAAACACGCCAACAATCGCTGAGCATCCGAGACGGTGCCCAAGCCAGAGCCGCTCAAGAAACCGTGCAGCATATCGGCCTCTTTCAGCGCCAACAGCGCCAATGCGGGCGTAGGCGCCGGCGTAGGCGCCGGTGTAGGAGGCGCCTCCTGCTTCCTGCAAAATATTGCACCGGCATTCGTCGTCTGATACGTCACGTCGGTAACGTCGGCTTGCGTCAGGCAGTCTGATATCAGCCGGCACGCGGGTGTTATAGACACTCCGTCCAACGCCCCATACATTCCGTAAGTGCTGCACGTCGGGGAGGCGTCGCAAGCCTCCTTGCATTCCGTCGTGCCTGCTACGCCACCAGTGCTAACGGGGAATGTCGTCATTCCACCGAAGGTCGCGCAGTAAGAATACCCACCACTGGTACTCGACACGCCATCGGGCAACAGAATGTCATAGCCGTCACCGCAGCTGGCCTCTGGGGCTCGGGACTGCTTCCTGCAAAATATTGCACCGGCATTCGTCGTCTGATACGTCACGTCGGTAACGTCGGCTTGCGTCAGGCAGTCTGATATCAGCTGGCACTTGGGTGTTATAGACACTCCGTCCAACGCCCCATACATTCCGTAAACGCTGCACGCTGGGGAGGCGTCGCAAGCCTCCTTGCATTCTGCCGTGCCCACAACGCCACCGGCACTGACATCGAATGTCGTCATTCCACCGTCGGTCGCGCAGTAAGAGTAGCCAACACTGCTATTCGACACGCCATCGGGCAACTGAATGTCATAGCCGTCGCCACACCCCTTGTTCAACTTCTGCAGCACACTGGTGCGCTCGAGCAGCATGTTCTTCAACACCATATCGTACAACCGATACTTCGTGATAATGTCCGTGCTGTACTCGAGACACTGGCGGTAGCTGGTTTCATACAAGTGCTCGACGGCAATTGCCATTGTTTCCTTGTGGTTGGCCTCCACCACCTCCCTGAAGTCGGCAATCGCAGAGCGGGTCATCTTGGCATTGTATGTGACTTCGCGGACGATCACATCGGTGTTGTGCGAGATGATCTCAGACAACGCTTGAGTCTGGTTCTCGATCGCGTCACCAAAATGGCTTTTGAGGTTGGCTTCCATGTGAACCAATGACTCTTTGACTTCCTGGACGCCCTTCTTGATTTCACCCTCGATTTTGCCAGCCAATTCTGAATTGGACATGTCTGACGTCGAAGCGCGAAAGAAATCACCGACGAATGGAACCTTGCTGATGCCCGGGATCATGCCCATCGCCTGGAACCCGAAATTGGTCATTACCTGCATGCCGGCATTCTGCGCGAAACTCAACGAACCCTTCCCAACTGGTCCCGCCGAACGCTTCGCCAACGCAGCTGCCGCGCCGACCCAACTGCTCGCCGCCGTGCGTGCTGTCCCCAGTCGCGATGAAGACAAAATCATGGCAGAGGACTGCAGGCGTGACCGCGTGTCTGTATGTGTTTGCAGCAACACTGTTTCCCTCACGGAAACATGGTTGTCCAGACTCCTGAGCGCAGTGGTGGACTCGTCCACCGCGGCCCCAGCCGCGTTGCCCACGCACGTGAACGCGAGGAGCGCCAGGAGCATGGTGCCGAGGCCGCCGCTACGGGCCGCCGCGCCTGTGACGTCGGGTGGGTCACCGTCGGCCGTGGTGGTCTCCAGCAGGCGGCGGTCCTGCAAGGTGGTGGTGTCACCGCTGGCGATGCAGCCACGGCTGGCAAGTAGGACGGCGAATGCTGAGAGCAGCACGTGGTTCATCGCGGCAGGAGTGGAGCAACAGAGGCCGATGGTGCGCGGCAGAAGCTCAGCGTGCCGAAAGCCTTGGGCCAAGGTGGTCTTGAGCCAAAATGGCTACGGAGGCTGTCTTCAAGCCATGTTGGACCCATTTTGAAACGCTCTTGTGCGGTCTTGGGCCTTCTTGGAACGCTCTTGGGCCATCTTGGCGCCCTCTTGGACGTCTCTCGGCCCTCTTTGACGTTTTCTGGCGCCCCCCGCTGGGCCCGAAACGGCCGAAGATAAATCAGTGCACGTTGGGGGCCCCGGGACCCCCTACCCATTTATGCATAAACATATATACGTGTGTAAATACATATACAGTTGTGTGTGTGAAACCACGACCGAAAACACAAGAATAAAGAGCACGCACAAAAACATCGCACGAACCATGACGTCCAGACAGTCGCTTCCCATAGTTAGTCAACCGTTCTGCCGCCTTCAGAAGCATCACAGCCATCTCCAAAGAGAAACCAGCGACTCGTATCATACCCTCCTAAATTGGCCCCAATGCTCGGGTGAGACCATTGAGGCTCCCCTCGCCTCCTCTCTCCTCCCTGGCGAAAGGTCACCCCTACGCGTAGTCGATGATACTTGTAGATCCACGCAGCACCCAACTCGCACCTGCATATAGGGGATCCGAAACAACGACGCCGCGCAAGGCGACACGTGGTGGGTCAGCATCGACAGGCGCGTGCTTGGTGCTGGTTGCCGCTGGCACGTTTGCTGCCCTCTCTAGAATTGAGCAGGGACCGACCGTACTGGCATTCCTACGGGCCTACCTCAAAATGTTCTTAGAACCCAAAACGTTCTAAGAACAAAACATGTTCTTAGAACATACGGCTGGTGTGTTAAAACAAGACAGTCCCAGCCAGAACTGTTATACTAAGACCATTTCGTGGAAACCACAAAAGGTTCTCAGAACATTGCTTGGTAGGCCTGTAGGCCTGTAGGCACGCCAGGACGCTTCGCCACTGCTTGTTATGGAGCCAGGCACGGCGCACGGCGCACGGCCCGGCGAAACGGGCCCAGCACGGCACGCGGGCAGCGCGGCGCGGCACGGCGCGGCACGGCACGGCACGCGGGCGCGGCCCCTCTCTTTATTACGCCTCCCGGGAGCGCCGGCACGGGCCGCCACGCCACGGCACCGCCACGGCACCGCGGGGCGGCTCGGCGCGGCACGGCACGGCCCCCGGGCGGCACGGCCTCCCAGCTCGCCTGCGCCGCGGGCCCGACACGGCGCGCGCGCGCGGCCTGCGCACGGGCACGCGGCACCCGGGCACGCGGGCGGTCCCTTTTCGTGGCACGCGGGCGGCAGTCTTTCGTTCGTGGCACGGCGCACGGCACGCGCACGGCACGGGCACGGCACGGCATGGCAAGGCAGGGCAGGGCACGCGGGCGGCACACCGGCGCATCCTCGGAGGAGGGCTACGGCACGGCACGCGCACGGCAGGGCACGCGGGGGGCGGCACGGCACGGCACGCGGGCGGCACTTTTCCTCCTCCTCCTCCTCCTCCTCCTCCTCCTCCTCCTCCTCCTCCTGCTGCGGAACCTCCTCCTTCCTCATCAACCCTCCTGCTCTTCCTCCTGCCCATCCGCCACCTACTACTCCACCTATGTGCAAAGCCTCCTTTTTGATTGCGCATCACACGACGGGGCCATTTGGGGAATCCGAGTCCTCTGGGACACGCCAGCCGGCGGATAGAAAAGAATTTGGCGAAAAGGGAAGGGATGGGCAGGATAGGTAGAATATCAGATATGCCGCGAGCGCACCCAGCTTGCCTCTATCCTCTCTCCCCTCCCCTCCCCCCCTCTCCCCCATGCCTCGGAGAGGTCCCAAGATGCTCACACAAGGCCTCAAGAAGGCTTCGAATGTGCCCAAGATGGCCATGGGCCCCAGGGGGGGACCCAGAGGCTCCCGAGATGCCCCAGAGAGGCCCAAGAATGACCCGACAGCGCCCCGAGAGGCCCCCCAAAGGCTGTTCCCCGACAGCCCTTCAGTGGCCTGCCAGCGCACTGCAAATCACTAGAAACTTAGCTCTCACGTGGCTTCGAACAGTGCGAAGAAAAAGAAAGCTGCGCAGACGACTACAGAGCTGCTGAGCACTGACACGATGTACAGAACAGAAAACGCGCATTGGCTCTGCAAGCGAGCAAAGCCTGCCAGCCCCAAGCCGCAGAAACGCTGAGGCGATGTCAACGAAGGGGTGCACGCAAAGAGGCGCAACCGCTGAGAGCAACATCGCATGAAACCAAGCAGCAGGAACTCAGACAGAATCCACGCAACGGAAAAAGACAATGGCCAACTTGCACGTGCGTCCACCTGGCTGTTCCGGTCATTCGAAAGCATGCTGCCAGCGGCGACGAAATACCAATTGGCAAACGTGCCAGTCTGAATGTTGTCATGTTTCAAGACGGGGCAACATACACACTGCTGCCCAAAAAACACGCCACTATCAAGGATTGGAGCCGCGCCGAGCTGACACGAAAACGCGTCACACACGCACGGGCGCAGCCCCTCACGCACATGAGTACGCGCCCGCATGCGCGCACGCGTGCACGCATTTTTTGCTCTCGGGGTCGGCCAAGAGTGGGGCGTCCAAGAGGGGGCGCAAATCATGGCCAGCGGCATGTGCGCGGCCCAGCGTTGGGCCAGGGAACGCATTGAAATAAGAGAAGAGGGGCCACGAAATCTAGGGAGAGTGCATGGCCCCCGCCATGAGATCCACCCCCCCCTGGTCCTCACCCCCCTCTTGGCCCGCCCACGATGCTCGACCCGTGCGAAGAATATGCCTGCCACGAAGGCGTGCCACTTCGCCAAAAGGGTGTCTGGGGGCAGGCCACGACGGGCGACCGCGTGCGGGCCCCATTGCGCCACCAAGTCCGAGCCGCACGCGCATGGAAACAGGACTTGTCATACTTGTCGTAATTGTCATAATTGTCCAAATTGTCCTAATTGTCGTAATTGACATAATTGTCATAATTGACATAATTGTCATAATTGTCATAATTGTCATAATTGTCACTTTGAACAAGCGCGCGCGTTCCGCTACTCGCAAAGTAACTACTCGCAAATGGCCTGAATCCGCCGCGGTGGGCTTACGATACGTTCATAGAGGTAGACAAGCTGTTCTTCGGACCACGGAGTGATGAAGCGCGCCTGGTGCTTTCTAATTCGCGGCCGTAACCGGCGTTATGAGTAGGGGTAGGGGGGGGGACGGGAGGGAGCATAACGTAGCGCCCCCCCCCCCACCAGACTGTGGTGCCGGACGCACTGCGGCAGTGCCGGGGACGGACGCATGAGGGGAGCGTCACGCTATGGGGGGGGCGGATGGAGGGGGGAGGGTGGGGGGGGTCATAACGCGCGTTATGGCCCCCCCCCCCCAAAAAAAAAAACACTCTCCAGACAATGCGCGCCGAAACAGCCCAGCCAACTCGTCGAGGAGATCCAGCCGACTGGCCCAATAAACCCGACAGCCTGAAGCAAACGGGCGACCCAAAGCGATCCAGAGGCCACGCCTGTGCGACCCAACGCTTCGTCCGTGCTTCTGGTCCTCCCTCCGACACGGGCGCTTCGAGTCTGATGCTTGCTGCAGTCGCGTGGCCCCTTCGGTGGCAACTCATGGGAGCTTTCCATTCCATCTTGTCGGCTTTTGCGTATCGACGCTAGTCGATGCTAAATCGGCGCTGAATCGACGCTAATCGACGCTAGCCGACGCTCAGTCGGCGCTATCTCATCGACTCCAAACGCTGATCGACGCCAATCGACTCCAAAGACGGAACTACGACCAGGCTCCCATGCTTTGCCAAACAAGCGTGGCCCCCCCACCCGCCCTCGGTGCATGGGCCTCGTGACCCTGACATGGAGCGCGCCTTCAGCGCACACGGAGCCGCCGCTGGGGTTAGAGGGGCGAAAAACGGCGAAAACGGCAAAATCGGCGCTGGACCCCTCCGCCCCGGCGCGCGAAGCGCGCCAGGGGAGGCGCTGGAGGCGCCCCCTGTGGGGGCCAGCGCGGGTCCAAGAAATCCGCGCGGAGCGCCCAAAGTCTATGTTGAAACCGCTGATTCTTCGTCGGTTGCTGCAGTCGCGCGGCCCCACCCCTACCCAAGCCGATGCTAAATCAGCGCTATCTCATCGACTCCCAGACGCTAATCGACTCGAAGCTGAAGACGGGATTGAGAGGGTACACAAGGCTCCCATGATCTGGAGGCCTCCTAGATGGGGTCCGAGTAGATGGGGTCGAAAGATCGCACAGCATCGCCGATGCATCGCCGATGCATCGGCGATGCATCGGCGATGCATCGGCGACGTCGGCGATGCATCGGCGACGTCGACGCGAAGCAAATCGGGCGCCCCACAGCGAGCCGCATCGGCGATGCATCGGCGATGCAGCGGGACCCTCCGACCCCGTCCACTCGGACCCCATCGAGGTGGCCCAGAATGGCCCCACCCGCCCACCCACACTCGGTGCTGCCGTCGCGCGGCCCCGCCCCCTCCCGCTCCTCGACTCCAGGCGCTAATCCACGCTGAACGACGCTAATCGACGCTGAAGGCGGAATTACGAGGGTATACCGACGCTGATCGACTCTAATCGACGCTAATCGACGCTAAACGACGCTAATCGACTCCCAGACGCTAATCGACGCTGAAGGCTCCCCTGATCAGCTACCGACGCGTGCCCCCTCCCCCCTCGGTGAATGGGCCTCGTGACTCCGAGCTGGAGCGCTCCTTCTGCGCCCACCGAGGATAGGGGAACGAAGACTGACACAAACCTGAAACTCGGAGGTCCGGGCGGATCACTCGGATCCGCGCTGGCCCCCCCTGGCGGCGCCTCCGGCGCCGCCCCTGGCGGGGGTCCAGCACCGATCCGGCGTGTGAGTTTCTGAAAGCGTGGGCTTGAGCTCGCTCAAGCTTCGCTCTAGGGGATGGGGGGGGATCCGGCGAATTATCCACGTAATTCAGTGAACGCTCCAGCGCGGGGGGGTGGTCCAAAAAATCGAGAGGGGGGAGGGAGCTCGAGCGAGGACGGGGGGGGGGGGTCGAGCTCAAGCGGGGGGGGGGGGTCCAAGGAGGAGGAAGCTCGAGCGGGGACGGAGAGGGGGGTCGAGCTCAAGCGGGGGGGGGGGGGTCAGCGCGGGGGGGGGGTCCAAGAATCGAGGGGGGGGGAGGGAGCTCGAGCGAGAACGGGGGGCGGTCGAACGGAGGGAGGGGTCGAGCTCAAGCGGGGGGGGGATGGGTCAGCGCGGGGGGGGGGGTCCAAGAATCGAGAGGGGGGAGGAGCTCGAGCGAGGACGGGGGGGGGGTCGAGCTCAAGCGGGGGGGGGGGGGTCCAAGGAGGAAGCTCGAGCGGGGACCGAGGGGGGGGTCGAGCTCAAGGGGGGGGGGGATGGGTCAACGCGGGGGGGGGGGTCCAAGAATCGAGAGGGGGGGAGAGAGCTCGAGCGAGAACGGGGGGGGGGTCGAACGGAGGGGGGTCGAGCTCAAGCGGAGGGGGGGGGGTCAGCGCGGGGGGGGAGGGGGTCCAAGAATCGAAGGGGGGGGGGAGCTCGAGCGAGGACGGGGGAGGAGGGGGTCGAGCTCAAGCGGGGGGGGGTCCAAGGAGGAATCTCGAGCGGGGACGGAGGGGGGGGTCGAGCTCAAGGGGGGATGGGGGGGTCAGCGCGGGGGAGGGGTCCAAGAATCGAGGGGGGGGGAGCTCGAGCGAGGACGGGGGGGGGTCGAGCTCAAGCGGGGGAGGGGGGGGTCCAAGGAGGAAGCTCGAGCGGGGACGGAGGGGGGGTCGAGCTCAAGCGGGGGGGGGTCCAAGAAACCGGAAAGGGCAGCGGGGGGAGGAGGGACGTCGTCGTCATCATCGTCCGTCGTTGACCCGGTCGTCGGTCGTCGTCGTCGCCATCGTCCGTTCCCACACGCATCGGGAGCGCCCCGGATCGGCGGCACTGGCCGGAGGCCATTACAATAAGAAGAGGCGCAATGAAATCTGAGGAAACATCATGGCCCACGTCATGAGATCCACCCCCCCTCAGTCATCACCCCCAGCTTGGCCGCTCCCGCCCCCGAGCCTACGTTTGTTCTGTCGCCGAATATGGATATTGTCCGCACCTCGAGGCCACGATCCTCGAGGACACGAACCTCGAGGCCACGAGATCCTCGGAGCCTCGATCCTCGCAGCGCTCACCCGAGTCTCGGAGGCCCCAAGCCTCGAAATCCTCCGATCTGCTACCGATGCGTGCCCCCTCCTCCTCCTCCTCCTCCTCCTCCTCCTCCTCCTCCTCCTCCTCCTCCTCCTCCTCCTCCTCCTCCTCCTCCTCCTCCTCCTCCTCCTCCCCCTCGGTCCCCCCCCTCGGTGCATGGGCCTCGTGACTCGGAGCTGGAGCGTGCCTCCCGCGCCCACCGAGGAGGAGCCGCCGCTGCGGGGCGCCGCGTGCCGCCGCGGCGGCGCGAACGCTGGCAGGAGCATCTCGGCGGCGGGGGGCCGTGGCCCCCCCGGCGCTCTGTTGCTGCTGCCGGGCGGCTCTGGGGCAGACGCGCCGGCACCGCGCAGGGTTAGGTCGGGCATGTCCTCCTGCAGGCGGATGTTGGACGAAGTGTTAAAATGATCCCACAAACCGTGTCTGCTTGTGAAGACAGCATGAAAACTGCCTGGAAGAACATACGAAGAATACTCCCACAGATGCCATACATACCCAAACGAAATCATCGCAAAATCGTCCCCAAACTATTGTTTGGCTACTTGTGGATATCCCTCCTGCAGAGGGGCGTGCCCGACTTGAGCGTAGGGCGCGGAGCAGGCATTGGCGGAAGCGGCGGGGGCGTGACGGCAGATGCGGGCGAGGGACGACCCTGAGATCCTGGCGCTGCCATTTTCTGCAGGACGGGCACTTTCGCGTTTTTGTCCGGGCCCCGGCCGGGACCTTCGCGGATCGATCCGGCTCGAAAGACGGCGCGGCAAGGTGGGGTCTGGGGTTCCGGGCGGGACTTTTCTACGAAGCTACAAGTTTCTCGCAGCGTCGGATCTCGGGGGAAAGGGCCCTTTCTGGCCCTTCCTCCATCCCCCCCCATTCCCCTTCTGGCCCTGCTTGCGCACTCGTGGGGTATGCCACGCCACCCCGAGTATGCCCAGGGCACGGGCGGGGCCCCCGGTGCCCCTGGGTTCAAGCTCTGGGGTCCGCCCCAGGCCCAAGGACAGGATCAGCGAGCATCGAATGGGCAAGTCGGATCGAGTCGAAACGTGCATCCATCGGATCGGGCTGCATCGGCACGGAATCGAAGTCGAATCGTATCGGCTGCGCCAGGATGCACAACAGCGCGATGCAGGCATCGGGCCGCATCGGATCATCGGGATGTCGGAACCGAATCGGATGTAGCCGGCCAGAATCGACATCACATCAAATCGATCGAATCGGAATGAACCCTGAAGGGTGGCGGATGGGGTTAGCAGGGGACCGAATAGTTGCATCGTCTGACCCAAGGGGCTACGAAGGAGTGGGTCAGACTACAGGGAAGCCCCTCGGGACTGCGCCCCGTTGTGCGAGAAGGGAGCGGGAGCAGGAAGCGGAGAGCAAACCACCCGGAATCTGTTCCACTGGCCGAGCAGGAAGCCCCGAAACGCCCGACGTGTCACTGGGCACAGCGGGCGCGGCCGACGCGGCAGAGCTCACGTGCCTCCGGCGTGCCACGTGCGAGCAGCAGCGGCAACGTGCGAGCAGCAGCATCATTTGCAACGGCAGCAGCCGCGGCAGCAGCAGCAGCAGCTGGAAGAGGAGAGACGGAGGAGGGGGAAAAAGGCGGGCGCGTGGCGCAGCGGCGAGGCAGCGACGACCCCGCACCGCCGGAGAGGCGGAAACAGGATTCAGTACGGTAAACCCGCATCAGAGGGATGCGCGGTAAGGATGCAAGGGCCTTGGAGGGCCACGTTAGCGTTTTTCGAACGAGGTTGGCCAGCGAGAGTCGCTCAGGATGGGCCGAAGGGGAAGGATGCCAGGGTACCCTTGGGAAGGTTGCCCATCCCTACCATGCGGGTTGATTGTACAGAAGGAGCTCGACCACAAGAAAACCTTCCGCAAGAAACCCAGCCCTGAGACCCCAGGACGTCCATTGAGTTGTGGTGTGCGAACGCCACGCTCTCCAGAACAAAACCACCGCGCCGAAACGGCCAAAGCGCGCATGTGTTCCGAGAACGGAGTGCGCCTCGTGCATGGGCCCTGATATCGAGGGAACATTCCTTCCACCAGTGCTCCTCCTCTTCCTCCTCCTGGGGGAGGTGGCCTACACGTTCGGCCCCGGGTGCCAGAGACTCCCGCCTGCCTGGAGGGGGCAAGCTGAAGGGGCCCTGGGACACACAAATAAATACACACAAATAAAAAGATTCCCCTTCTTTTTCCCGTATTTTCTGTGTTTTTGTCTTCCCCCCCACTTCCCATATTTTCCCATATCTTCCTGGGACTCGACGATTCATTGTGTCTGTGTGTTTTTTCCCCTCCTGAGGAGAGCCCGCCTCGCCTGCCCGACTGCCGCCCTGTGACACCTCGCTCCGAAGCAGCGCCCTTCCCCAGAGGCCAGCACGCGGAGCTCAGGCCATCCTGTTTATCCTGCCAGTCACTGTCCTCACCATCACCACCACCATCATCAACAACATCCATCGCCATATACATCATCAAGGCAATTGCCATATACATCATCGCCATCGCCATATACATCATCAATCTCAGCTTCATCATCATGAATAACCTCCTCTTCATCATCAGCTGCGTGACTTCGCTTATGACCATCCTCGTCCTATTCCGGTCCATTCACTGGTGCGGCAACGCATATCAGTGCAACGACCACAACGGCCATCATCACCATTGCCGTCACCACCACCATAATCATCATCCTCACAGTCAACACAATCATCACCAACACCATCATGCTCGCCGTAATCATCATCACCGCCACTACCAACACCGTCATCGTTGTCATAATCGTCATCATCAGCAGCATCATCAACAGCATCAACAGAATCATGATCATCATGATCAGCATCATCATAATCATCAGCAGCATCAGCGTCATCATCATCATCAGCAGCATCCGCATCACCATCATGATCATCATCATCATCATCATCATCATCATCATCAGCATCATCATCATCTTCCTCATCATTATCAGAATCGTCATCATCAGCAGCATCATCAACATCATCATCACCATCACCATGATCAGCATGATCAGCCTGATGATCATCATCATCATCATCATAATAAGAATCAGCATCATCATCATCTCATCATCCTCAGCATCCTCAACATCATCATCATCATCATCATCATCATCATCATCAGCATCATCATCATCAGCATCATTAGCATCGCCGTCGTAATCCTCATAAAAAGCACCAACGTCGTAATCACCACCATCATCGTCACCACCATCATCAGCCTTGTCATCAACATCAGCAGCAGCATAATCATCGTCATCACCATCACGATTACCGACTTCCTCGACACCACCGTCGCAACAATCATCACCACCGACAAGATCACCATCATCAACACTATCCTCATCGCCATTATCAGCAACATAATCGTCATCACCAGTAGCATGACCATCCTCATCAGCATCACCATCATCAACGTTGTAAGAATCCTCCTCACTAGCATGAAATGTATCCTGGTCCTCATCATTAGTCTCAGTATCACAATCATCATCAGCATCATAATCGCAATCGTCATAAACATCATCAGACACATCAGCATAATGCTAAACATCCTCATCATCAGCATCACCATTAGTCGCATCATCATTATCGCCATCGCCATTAACACCATCAGCATCAGCAGCAGCATCAGAATGAGCATCAGTATCATCACCATCATCATCACCACCACCAGAATCATCACCACCAGCATCATCAGCATCAACAACAACAGCATGAGCACCATCATCATCCTCATCCTCATCATCATCCTTATCAGCATCAGCATCAGCATCATCACCATCATCAGCAGCATCAGCATCAGCATCAGCATCAGCATCATCATCGTCGTCGTCGGAATCATCACCATCATCGGAATCAACAGCACCACCACCAACACACCATCACCACCGCCGTCACCACCACCGTCACCACCACCATGACCATCGCCCTCGCCCTCCTCCGCCCTCGCCCTCTGCCCGCCTCTTTTCATTCCCTGGCGGCGGACGCGAGGAAGTACCCGACCTCCGGAGGGACCGAGTCCCGACCGTAGCCCCGGGAGACGGCGCCCAGCCGCTGCACCTCTGCCGCGGCCCAGCCCGCGGCGCCCAGGACCGCCGCGACCTCGCGACGGCGCCGCGGGCACGACCAGAAGGCGAGGGTCGGCGGCGAGCGAGGGGGGGAAGGGACAATAGATGGACAACAAATTCGAACCCTTCCACATTCGAGGGAGATTCTAAATCACCCCCGCACCCCCGACATCAATGTTGATCTCAGTAAAGGCGGTGCTTTGGGGTTCGAATAGTTCTGTCCACTCACGCCCCCCCCGTCGCCACGCCATCAATAGTAATTTCGGGGGATCTGGGGGGGCATCTTGGGCCACAGGGTTCGAATGTAATGTCCATGTACTGGAGAAGGGGGCGAGACTCCTCAGAAGGCTCGGAAGTCCCCCAGCCTTCCGAGAAGCTTCCGGAGCCCTCCCCGAAGACACAGGAGGAGACCTCTCGGAAGGCGCGAGGGCTTCTGAGAAGCCCCGCCGCCCTCGGAGAAGGCCTCCTCCTTCTCACCTCCCCCCCCCCCCACGCTCGCCGCCGAGAGGGGACTGCACCAGCATCGGCTTTCGGAGGTCCGCGGGGATCCCTTGGGCGGGCGCGGGAAACGCGCCGATGGGCCGAGGCGGAGGCGCCGCCAGGGGGAGGCACGCCGCCAGGGGCCCGCGCCGACCCAAGAAACCCGCGCGGGACTCCCAAAGTGTGGGCTCACGGCCGAAGCTTGAGCAGGGACCGACCGTCCCAGCCTTCCTGTAGGCCTACCACGACATGCTCTTAAAACCCCCGATGATTCTGACAACGAAAAACAGTGTTCTTAGAACATCAGCCCGATGTGCTCAAACAAGACAGTCCCAGCCAGAAAGGTTCTGAGAACATCTCGCGCAAACCACAAAGGGTTCTTAGGACATTCCTTGGTGGGCCCGTAGGCAAGCCAGGACGCCTCGCCATTCCTCGAGGGCAGAGACGCCGCCAGGGGCCGGCGCCGACCCGAGAAGCCCGCACGGGACTCCCAAAAGGTTTAGGTCGGGCGTGTCCCCCTGCAGACGGGTTTTGGAGGAAATATTAAAAATGTAAAGAACATACTCAACAACAAACAATATCAAAAATGGTAGACAGATCGTCCCCACACGATGTTTTGACACACAAATGAATACACACAAATAACAGGATTCCCCATATCTCCCCATATGTTCTGGGTTCTTGTCTTCCCCACCACTTCCCATAGTTCACCATATTTTCTGGGAAGTCGGCGATTAGTTGTGTCTGTGGGTTTCTTTCCCTCCTGACATTCCTCCTGCAGGGGAAGAATTAAAAAATAGTAAGAACACGCTCCACAAAAAAACATCATCACAAATGGCTTCTTTGCTATGCCTGGACACTCCTCCTGTAGAGGTGGGACACGCCCGACGGCACGAGAGGCGTCTGCCCACGGCCGCAGCACGGCCGCCGGGGGCGCGGCCGCCGGGAACGCAGGGGCCCCCGCGCCGAGGGCCTTGCGGCCCCCCGCGGGCGGCACGCGCGAGGCGGCAGACGCTCCGAAGGGGGAGGGCCGAGGCAGGGAGAGCCGTGGAGGGGCCCTGGGGCACACGAGTGCACGAGAGGACTCCAGGAGGCGGTCGACTGCAGAATTGGTTTACCCCAGGAGTTGGCCTTCCGTCGAGTCTGCGAGAAGCGCGTAGAATGCTCCGTAGATGTACACAGCATCTTACGCAGTGCTCGTGGATGGGACGGGCAACTCAGTTTCGGGGCAAATCATTTCTGCAGTCGATCCCATACTCGGAAAACTAAACGAAAAAGAACTATGCACGTACACCGATTCTGGCCAGGCCTATCCTGAGCCCAGGATCGGTGCATATGCCCTCTACCTTAGCCAGGAAGGCATGGGCCTTGCCTTGGAGAGGCCCTGGGACACACAAGTAAATGGTCACAAATCAAGGGCTCCCAACTTCGCGCTTCGCGCTGAGCGAAGCGCGAAGTGCGAGTAACTTCGCGCTCTCGCGCCGCCTCCCAGGGGAGAAGAGGAGGATGGGGAGGGATCGGAGCCGAAGCGCGAAGCGCGAATAACTTCGCGCCCTCGAGGGCGCCCTTGCAAATAGTTAACAGGATCCCCATGCTTTCCCATACCTTCGGGGTGTTCGGCTTCCACCCCCCACTTCCCATATTTTCCCATGTTTCTGGGAGTCGACCATTCATTGTGTCTGTGCGTTTCTTTCCCTCCTGGCAGAAGGGCACCCCTCCAAAACCAAGGCTGTTCTATCTGGGACGCATATAGACATACTGGTGCGATATGTCCTCCTCGGAGGCGCGCGTCCGACCCGAACATATAGTGTACCCACCTTGTCGTAGATCGTTTCCCGAGCGGCATGGCCAGAAAGCGCCGGCCACGACGCATGTACTGCAAGATTCCTCGATACGCGCGTCGCCCCTGGGGGGGCGGCGCACACATAGTGTTAGTATGTTGGGGTGACGCCGATTCTAAGCCCTCTAAAACCAACACCTTCGAATGACGAGTGCCAAGCCCCGCCAAGCCTGGCGCGGGCGCGTGCACCCTCGCGGCCATGCCAGGATCAGACGCAGGCCAAGATTGCACGACCACCAGCCCTGCCCAGGCCCGTCCTGTGCCCCAGGCCGTCTGCATGCAGCCGTCCAGGGCCCAGGTTTTCGGCACGCCCGGAACGGATACAGAGAAAGAAAGGGCACAGTGCCCCACAGCAAATGCTGTCTAAGAGCGACGGCGGCCGCTGTTGGGCAAGCGACTTTCCATCTCTCGTGACCGACGTCCGCGGCGACACCGACGGCGGGCCCTCTGCAAAGTGGAGCAGAGCTGCTGTCGGTCTTCGTCCCCACTGTTTCCGTGCAGCCATCGTTCTACCATTAGGTAGGGCATGTCCCCCTAAGGTCGGATTTTGGACGAACAAATAGAACAATACCAAAACATGCTCGAAAATAATCACACATCTAATAATCGACAAATCGTCCCCATACTATGTTTTACTATGTTTGAAGATTCCTCCTGTAGAGGGACATGCGGGACTTAATGCTACCATAAGGAACTTCGACTCAGAAACGAAGGGGTCTTTCTGGCAACGGCGAGCATCAGGATGCCCCGACCTGGATCCAAGAAACGACCGACAACCAGAGCCCCTCCTGAGCCCAAAGTGGTCCTTACTGCAACGCCTTGACTGTACCCACTTCGATCCTCCCGAGGCGTGGGGTTCCCAGCCTCTCCAGGGGCGTGCACAGGCAGGCTCGGCAGCGGAGCGCCGTTGGCGCCCCGGGAACCTGGCTCTCGTCAGCCACAGAGAACCGATGCATGCTCGTGGCCCTCATCTCCGCGCCTACGAACGTGGCGATAATCGTGGACCCCTCCACCGACGCCGCGGCCACGCTCTCGAGCAGCGCGGCGAGCTCGGGCTCGGTCAGGTAGCCGGTGAGGCCCTCCAGGAGCCAGACCGACGGCTGGCCTGTGTGGAAGCCCGCTGCCAAGAGCGCCTGCTGCAGGTCGTCGACCCCGAGGTTCGCGGGGACGTGACTGAGCTTCGCTATGGTCGGGGAGACGTACGGTGCGGGCGGGCATTGGATGACAACCCTTGGACCAGGAATCCAGGGTCTGCAAAGCCAGGGAAACTCCAGTTGAGGCTTTGCCATGGACATCATCGCCGCCCTCATCAGAGAATGAACCCTCCAGAGTCTGAAGCCTCCTTGGCACAAGCCTTGCCCAACGCCCCCACCGTAAGACTCGGGTTCGGGGGGCTCGGGTCGGCCTGACGGAGCGGTCAGGAAGATGACACGAGCCCGTGTGAAATTTGACTCGAGCTCCCGCTGCAAACATCCAACGAAAACTGCCCCGTCCAAATCCAAAACGGGCCCGTCAGGAAACGTCGGCAAAGCCGATGCCCGGCGGACTCGAGCCTTACGTTTCCCCGAGATGGGGGGGCCGCTGTCGCCCAGGAGGGCCTGCTTGGCCTCCAGCACCTCTCCGAAGTCCACCTCGAACACGGGCACCCCCCTGAGGGCCTCCAGGCGATAGGCCCGGCAGTCCAGCCCCGCACCCAGGATGACCAGCTGCTTGGGGGGTGCGAGCGCCATCGCGTCGTCTATCCAGCGAGTTCTGACCGCCATGAAGTCGATCCAGAACTCCCTCGACCTTCGGGCGGGGTCAGACCGCCCCCTTCTCTGACGACCCCCACTCCGTGATGTACCCGCATCCTCCTCCGACTCATCACCATCATCATCATCACCAACAAGAACAACATCATCATCACCAGCATCATCATCATCATCATCATCATCATCATCATCATCATCATCATCATCATCAGCAGCAGCAGCAGCAGCATCAGCATCAGCATCAGCATCAGCATCAGCATCAGCATCAGCATCATCATCATCATCATCGTCATCATCATCATCATCATCATCATCATCATCATCATCATCATCATATCATCATCATCATCATCGTCATCATCATCATCATCATCATCATCATCATCATCATCCGTCATCAACGTCATGGTCATCTTTATCATCATCATCGTCGCCATCACCACCATAATGATCAACGTCATCTTCAGCAGCAGCAGCAGCATCATCAGCATCATCATAATCAGCATCAGCAACATCAGCATCAGCATCAGCAACATATTCAACAACCACCTCCGTATCCTTATCATCGTCATCGTCATCACTGTCGTCGTGTCGTCGTCGTCGTCACCGTCGACGTCTTCATTGTCATCATCATCAGCATCATCATCATCAACATCATCAGCATCATCATCAGCATCATCAGCATCATCACCATCATCATCAACATCAACAGCTTCAGCACCATCATTATCAGCATCATCGACATCATCATCATTGTCATCATTATCAGCATCCTCAGCATCATCATCGTCTTCATCATCAGCATCGTCGCGGTCAGCATCATCCTCATCGTCGCCGTCGTCACCGTCATCTCCACCACCACCATCATCATCAACGCAATCGTCATCATCAGCATCATCATCAGCATCAGCATCATCATCAACACCATCAGCATCATTATCAACATCAGCATCATCATCAATATCAGCAGCATCGCCAATACCACCATCATAAAAATCGGCACAAACCGCATCACAACCATCCCCATCGCCATCACAATCACCATCACCATCGGCGTCGCCACCATCGCCCCCATCACCCACAATGCGGTGGTAATCATCATTATGGTTTTGATCATCATTATCATCATCATCATCATCATCATCACCATCATCATCATCATCATCAGCATCATCATCATCATCATCTCATCGTAATCGTCATCATCATCAGCATCATCATCGTCATAGACATCATCGTCATCACAATCGTCATCACCATCGCCAAAACCATGACCACCACCATGATCGCTACCATCATCATCATCACCATCATCATCATCATCATCATCAGCATCATCATCAATAACCGCCGTATCCGCATCATCAATACTACCTCGATCATCATTGCAACCACCATCATCATAATAACCAGCATCACATCACCATCGTCCTCATAAACAACACTCGTCATCACCATCATCAACGACAGCATCCTCATGATCACCAGCATCATCGTCATCAGCATCGTCATCGTCATCATCGACGTCGTCGCCACCACCGTCACCACCATCACCACCAACACCACAATAATGACCACCACAACCAATATTAACATCATCCTCACCAATAACAGCAGCATCATCGTCATCCCCACCACCACCAACACCATCATCATAGGCATAGAATCGGCAGCGTAATCATCACCATAATCAAAACCATCAGCATGATCATGCTCATGATCCATGATCATGGTCATCATCATCAGCATCATCAGTATCATTATCAACAACATCATCATCAGCATCATCACAATATTCATCATCATCATCATCATCATCATCATCAGAATCATCACCGTCAGCGTCATCATCATCAGCATCATCAGCAGCAGCATCATCATCGTCGTCATCGTTATCAGTATCAGCATCATAATCATCATCACCACCAACATCGCCATCGTCATCGTCATCGTCATCGTCTTCGTCATCAACATCCCATCGCCCCCCCTCACCCGCGATGCGGTAGTTGGCGGGGGACTCTCTGAAGGGGCAGCCAGCACTAGGTCGGGCGTGTCCCTCTGCAGGCGGATGTTGGACAAAAAATAAAAATAGTCGAAACATACCCAACAATGGTCAAAAGGTAGTCTGGAAAATCGTCCACCGACTATTTTCTAACGATTTTTGAATATTCCTCCTGTAGAGGGACACGCCCGACTTAAAGCCAGCATGGAATCGGGAAATCGGACCCGATCGGCGCGCACGTCGCACGTCGGACCCGGCCGCCTCGGCGTCGGAACCAGCTCTGATCGGCCGCGCCAAGGTGCACAGCAAAGCTGCATCGCGCCACATCGGATCGCCGGCATGTCGGAATCGAAGCTAATCTTAGGTCGGGCATGTCCCCCTGCAGGCGGATTTTGGACGAAAAATAAAAAATAGCCCAAAAATACACCAAAATATCAGAATGGCGGGAACATCGGAATCGAAGCTAATCAATCGGGACCCTTAGAATCGATATCAACTCGGATCGATCGGATCGCAAGGAACCCTGCATGGCCACCCTCGCCTTTCAGTTGGGGGCGCTCCCGGCGAGGCGCAGCCGCTGGAAAGCACACCGAGAGGCTGGAAAGCCGCCCAGAACCGACCAAAACGCCCGAAAGCCAGAACCGACCTCTGGGAGGAGAGCCGACCTCTGGGAGAAGGAGGAGGAGGAGGAAGAAAGAGGGGGGAAGGGGAAAATGTGGAGGAGGAGCAGGAGTAGGAGGCGGAGGAGGAGAGGGGATCGGTCGATCGGTCGAGGATCTTGGATGACTCGGTCTGCTGAACTCTGCCGGGGGGGAGAGCCACATCGGCGACCCCCACCCCAACATCCGGACTGCCCGACAGCCCACGAGCCGCACGCGTCACGAGCTGCCCCACCCACAAAGGTGGAGGGGTCCTGAGAGACAGTGCAAGACAAATCCGCCGGCCCGTTCGGTGTGTGCGTGAGAGAGAGAGAGAGAGAGACGCTGTTTCCCGGCCCGCCTGAGCGCGCGTGCGGCCTGCCTCCATCGTGCTGCGACGCAAAAAAAGGTGGATGAAAAGTTGTTCCGTTTGAGACCAAGGCCGACCAAGAGAGCCCCGCAGAGCCGCAAGAGCGGAAGAAGAAAAAACGCATACGGTGGAGGCCAGTCCACAAGAGACCTTGCACAAGAAGCCCAGGCCTGCGGCCCCAGGACGTCCATTGATTTCTGGTGTGGGAACGCAACGCTTCCCAACGCGAAACCCCATCGAAACCCCATCGAAACCCAAGAAGCCTAGGGCCCCCTGGAGGCCAGCAGGGTGTTTCTTGGCATGAGTCTCCACTGTAACACACAAACGTTTGGCGCTCTGGGCGGATTTCTTGAATCTGCGCTGGACACCCCTCCCTGGCGCGCGGAGCGCCAACAAGTTTATGTTTATGCCGTCTTTTCTTCTTCGATAGAGGGGGGACACCCGTCGGGTCGAATGGAAGGCCCTCGATCCCTTGCCCGCTGGGGGGAGCGGTCGGGGTCCCGAGGCCAACAGGGCCCTGCAGGGTATACCCACGAGGGCTCGCGAGCGTCGTCGTCGTCGTCGTCGTCCAGGGTCGGCGGCACTGGCCGCAAGGCCTGCGCGAGACAGTGCCGCGCAGAACCGCGCCCGACGCCCCAACCCACAGCCGAAACCCCAGACCGCATCGGCATGCTGCCTCCGTCGGAGCAGGTCGGCCCGCGAGGGCCCCGGGGTCCCAGAGCGGGCGAGGGCGCCCGGGCGTGGGAAGGCTGCGGCGCCCGGGCCTCGGGACCGTGCGCGGCGCCCGGCGCGGCGGCGCGGCGGTGGCGGCGGCGGCGCGGCCGCCGTCGCCCCGCGGCTTGCGGCCCATGGCTCGGCTCGCCGGCGGCCGTTCGGGACGATGCGGGCACCCTCGGAGCGCTCTCGGGGAGCGCGCAGCCGCCGAAGAGCATCCCCGAGGCGAGACAGCTGCCGAGGACCGACGAGAACGACCGAAAACCTCGGGCCTTCGAGGAAGGAAGAGCTGCATGGACAGAAAAACTTTCGACGGTCCGCGTGGAGGCGCCACCAGGGGTGCCCAGCGCCGATCCGAGAAATCCGCGCGGAGCGCCCAACGTCTACGTCCAGGCCGCTGCTTCTTCTCTGAGGCCTGCGCGCGGCGCGCAGGGCGGCGAGAGCCCTGCCCGAGGACGCTACATACGCAAGGACACCCGATGCGTCTGTGGACGAATGTGGCCAGAAAGTGAGAACGGTGCTTGGCATGGGCCCCAGATGTTGGTCGTCCAGAAGCAAGCAAACTTTGCCCTCCAAGGGAGACCTGCCCGTGGACTCGATCCACTCGGCATCGGGGCCGCAGCCTCCGCAGAGCACCGACGCCAGCGGGTCAAAGACGAGCCTGCGGCGCTCAGGCTTCGCGGACTCCTCCGCGCGCAGCGCGCAGACAGTCACTGCCGTGCCAGACACCCCGGACCTGGCGGTGTCGTGGTGCGCCACCTGAGGGCGGGGTCCCAAACGACTCCTCGCTGGGACTCCTCGCCGGGACTCCTCCCCTCACAGGACTCCCCCCAGGACTCCCCCACAGGACTCCCCCACACGACCCTCCCAGTGGACAGGACTCCCTCACAGGACTCCCCCTGGGACGTACGCGAGCCAAAAGATATCTACGCCGCGGCGTGCGCGGTCCGCCAGCGATGGCACGCCGCGTGGAGAAGAGGGCGCGTACGTGCGACCTGAACCCCCCATGGATTCTTCGAACCCCCCCCCCCCCGATAGCGAACGCAACTGATGTTGTCGGCGACCTCTCTTGACGGACTGGGGCCCCACAAGTAGTGGAAAAATGCCATAGGAGCTCGACCGCACGAACCCTTCCAAAAGGAACCCAACCCTGGAACCCCAGGACGTCCATTGATGCTTGGCGTGGGAACGTCACACGTTCCCTAGCAAAACCATGGAAACTCAAGAAACTCAGGGCGCCCAGGAGGCAAGCAGGGTGTTTCTCTGCATGGTTTTCCACAGAAATGATTTATCCCTGGCACCCGCCGCACAACAACAACAACAACAACAACAACAACAACAACAATCACTTTACCCGAACGCTCAGTGTTCTCACCAGTGCCAGGGTTTTCATGCGACGCCAGCCAATACCCCCACTTTGTGGGGGGGCAGTGCAAGCTCTACCAAATATCCACACGACTCTTCGCCACCACCCACACCCAGCTTCCCGCCCTATGACGTTCGGACACTTCACTTCGTGGCCTGCGGACGACCGTGGCTACTACACTGGCGTGGAGTACACACCCACAGAAGTTGTTAAGCCTACGTTCGTACACCCACAGAAGTTGTTAAGCCTTGTTAACCCACAGAAGTTGTTAAGCCTTCCACACGGCGGGCTCTTGGGGCCTCTTGAAGGCCTCCTGGGGCAACCTATGGCGCAACCAGTAGGGGGACGTTTTATTCTCGGCGGCCGAGGGCGCAACCTATGGCGCAACCAATAGGGGGACGTTTTATTCTCGGCGGCCGAGGGCGCAACCTATGGCGCAACCGCAAGGGATTGTGGCCCCTGGCAGGCGCGCGAACCCCGTTGCAAGAGCGTGCGAAAGTAGCTCGCGCGAGCTCATGTAACATAAATGTTGGAAAACCATTGGTTTTTTTAGGATTCGGACAGCGCGCGCGGGTAGAAATTTTGAAAAGTCGTGCAGGTGTTTTTCGAGGACCTACGGTGCGATTCGTGTGATTTTATGATGCGCGGTGCTAAAATTCTTAAGAAGCCCAATGGTTTTTGGAGATTTCGGCGTGCGCGCGCGAAGAAAAAACGAATGTGTCCCGCATGGTATTATTTGACAGGGATGATGGCCCTGGCAGGTGCGCAACCGTTGTCGCAGAAGTTCGAAAAAGTTGCTCGCAAAAGCCCGTTTGACAGAAATGTTTAAAAAGTGTTGGGTTTCCTACGAATCCGCAAGAGCGCGCGGGATGAGATTTTGACATTTTTTTGTTGAAAAACCATTGGTTTTTTGATGTTTTTATGTTAAAATCGCTCCGAACACTAAGCTTTTGGAAGGATTTCGTCTTGCGCGCGCGAATGTCCACTTTACCTTATTTTTTGCAAGGGATTCTTGAAATTTGATTATATTAGAACAAGAAATGTCATTTTATAGTGTTTTTTGCAAGGGAAAACGGATTACAACAAAACAACCGGATCTGGACCCCATCCACTTTTCTGAGGCTTCCTCACGAAAATGATGAAAATGTAGCTGCGGCCTAGGCGCGGCGGGGGGGCCGTGCACCAGGGGTCCCAACAATAATTATTCTTTAGAATTAATAATGTTCAACAACAACAACAACAACAACAACAATCACTTTACCCGAACGCTCAGTGTTCTCACCAGTGCCAGGGTTTTCATGCGACGCCAGCCAATACCCCCACTTTGTGGGGGGGCAGTGCAAGCTCTACCAAATATCCACACGACTCTTCGCCACCACCCACACCCAGCTTCCCGCCCTATGACGTTCGGACACTTCACTTCGTGGCCTGCGGACGACCGTGGCTACTACACTGGCGTGGAGTACACACCCACAGAAGTTGTTAAGCCTACGTTCGTACACCCACAGAAGTTGTTAAGCCTTGTTAACCCACAGAAGTTGTTAAGCCTTCCACAGAACATCTGTTGCATATGATGCATATGGTACATGATACACATGATACACATGATACGTACTCACAAGATAGTTGATCACATCTTTAGGGCAAATTCCTGAGGGATGTGGGAATACACAAGAGAGAGAGGATATGGTTGTCCCGATGGTTGTCTCGATGGTTGTCCCGATGGTTGTCCTGATGGTTGTGGTTGTCCCGATCGTTGTCCCGATGATTGTCCCGATGGTTGTCCTGATGGTTGTGCTTGTCCCGATCGTTGGACCTACGGTGCGATTCGTGTGATTTTATGATGCGCGGTGCTAAATTTCTTAAGAAGCCCAATGGTTTTTGGAGATTTCGGCGTGCGCGCGCGCGAAGAAAAAACGAATGTGTCCCGCATGGTATTATTTGACAGGGATGATGGCCCTGGCAGGTGCGCAACCGTTGTCGCAGAAGTTCGAAAAAGTTGCTCGCAAAAGCCCGTTTGACAGAAATGTTTAAAAAGTGTTGGTTTTCCTACGAATCCGCAAGAGCGCGCGGGATGAGATTTTGACATTTTTTTGTTGAAAAACCATTGGTTTTTTGATGTTTTTATGTTAAAATCGCTCCGAACACTAAGCTTTTGGAAGGATTTCGTCTTGCGCGCGCGAATGTCCACTTTACCTTATTTTTTGCAAGGGATTCTTGAAATTTGATTATATTAGAACAAGAAATGTCATTTTATAGTGTTTTTTGCAAGGGAAAGCGGGGGGGAACAAAACAACCGGATCTTGATCACATCGTTTACCTGAGGCTTCCTCACGAAAATGATGAAAATGTAGCTGCGGCCTAGGCGGCGCAGGGGGGCCGTGCACCAGGGGGCCCAACAATAATTATTCTTTAGAATTAATAATGTTCAATTACTAGCACGTGGGGACACTCCGTTCTCACCAGTGCCAGGGTTTTCATAGGAGGCGGGCAATACCCCCACTTTGTGGGGGGGCCGGTTCAAGCTCTACCAAATTTCCAAACGACTCTTCGCCACCACCCACACCCAGCTTCCCGCCCTATGACGTTCGGACACTTCACTTCGTGGCATGCGGACGACCGTGGCTACTATTCAGGGCCCCGCGGCCGACGACGACGGCGTGCGCGCGCGAAGAAAAAACGAATGTGTCCCGCATGGTATTATTTGACAGGGATGATGGCCCTGGCAGGTGCGCAACCGTTGTTGCAGAAGTTCGAAAAAGTTGCTCGCAAAAGCCCGTTTGACAGAAATGTTTAAAAAGTGTTGGGTTTCCTACGAATCCGCAAGAGCGCGCGGGATGAAATTTTGACATTTTTTTTTGAAAAACCATTGGTTTTTTGATGTTTTTATGTTAAAATCGCTACGAAAACTAAGGTTTTGGAAGGATTTCGTCTTGCGCGCGCGAATGTCCACTTTACCTTATTTTTTGCAAGGGATTCTTGAAGTTTGGATATGTTAGAACAAGAAATGTCCACTTTAGCTTATTTTTTGCAAGGGAAAGCGGGCCGTAACAACACAACCGGATCCGGACCAACCCGTTTTGCCTGAGACTTCCTCACGAAAATGATGAAAATGTGGCTGCGGCCTAGGCGCGGCGGGGGGGTCGTGCACCAGGGGCCCCAACAATAATTATTCTTTAGAAGTAATAATGTTCAACAACAACAACAATTACTAGCACGTGGGGACACACCGTTCTCACCAGTGCCAGGGTTTTCATAGGAGGCGGGCAATACCCCCACTTTGTGGGGGGGCCGGTTCAAGCTCTACCAAATTTCCAAACGACTCTTCGCCACCACCCACACCCAGCTTCCCGCCCTATGACGTTCGGACACTTCACTTCGTGGCATGCGGACGACCGTGGCTACTATTCAGGGCCCCGCGGCCGACGACGACGGCGTGCGCGCGCGAAGAAAAAACGAATGTGTCCCGCATGGTATTATTTGACAGGGATGATGGCCCTGGCAGGTGCGCAACCGTTGTTGCAGAAGTTCGAAAAAGTTGCTCGCAAAAGCCCGTTTGACAGAAATGTTTAAAAAGTGTTGGGTTTCCTACGAATCCGCAAGAGCGCGCGGGATGAAATTTTGACAATTTTGTTTTGAAAAACCATTGGTTTTTTGATGTTTTTATGTTAAAATCGCTACGAAAACTAAGGTTTTGGAAGGATTTCGTCTTGCGCGCGCGAATGTCCACTTTACCTTATTTTTTGCAAGGGATTCTTGAAGTTTGGTTATGTTAGAACAAGAAATGTCCACTTTAGCTTATTTTTTGCAAGGGAAAGCGGATCGTAACAACACAACCGGATCCGGACCAACCCGTTTTGCCTGAGACTTCCTCACGAAAATGATGAAAATGTGGCTGCGGCCTAGGCGCGGCGGGGGGGTCGTGCACCAGGGGCCCCAACAATAATTATTCTTTAGAAGTAATAATGTTCAACAACAACAACAATTACTAGCACGTGGGGACACTCCGTTCTCACCAGTGCCAGGGTTTTCATAGGAGGCGGGCAATACCCCCACTTTGTGGGGGGGCCGGTTCAAGCTCTACCAAATTTCCAAACGACTCTTCGCCACCACCCACACCCAGCTTCCCGCCCTATGACGTTCGGACACTTCACTTCGTGGCATGCGGACGACCGTGGCTACTATTCAGGGCCCCGCGGCCGACGACGACGGCGTGCGCGCGCGAAGAAAAAACGAATGTGTCCCGCATGGTATTATTTGACAGGGATGATGGCCCTGGCAGGTGCGCAACCGTTGTTGCAGAAGTTCGAAAAAGTTGCTCGCAAAAGCCCGTTTGACAGAAATGTTTAAAAAGTGTTGGGTTCCCTACGAATCCGCAAGAGCGCGCGGGATGAAATTTTGACAATTTTGTTTTTAAAAACCATTATTTTTTATGTTTTCATGTTAAAATCGCTACGAAAACTAAGGTTTTGGAAGGATTTCGTCTTGCGCGCGCGAATGTCCACTTTACCTTATTTTTTGCAAGGGATTCTTGAAGTTTGGATTATATTAGAACAAGAAATGTCCACTTTAGCTTATTTTTTGCAAGGGAAAGCGGATCGTAACAACACAACCGGATCCGGACCAACCCGTTTTGCCTGAGACTTCCTCACGAAAATGATGAAAATGAGGCTGCGGCCTAGGCGCGGCGGGGGGGTCGCGCACCAGGGGCCCCAACAATAATTATTCTTTAGAAGTAATAATGTTCAACAACAACAACAACAACAACAACAACAACAACAACAACAACAACAACAACAACAACAACAACAACAACAACAACAACAACAATTACTAGCACGTGGGGACACTCCGTTCTCACCAGTGCCAGGGTTTTCATAGGAGGCGGGCAATACCCCCACTTTGTGGGGGGGCCGGTTCAAGCTCTACCAAATTTCCAAACGACTCTTCGCCACCACCCACACCCAGCTTCCCGCCCTATGACGTTCGGACACTTCACTTCGTGGCATGCGGACGACCGTGGCTACTATTCAGGGCCCCGCGGCCGACGACGACGGCGTGCGCGCGCGAAGAAAAAACGAATGTGTCCCGCATGGTATTATTTGACAGGGATGATGGCCCTGGCAGGTGCGCAACCGTTGTTGCAGAAGTTCGAAAAAGTTGCTCGCAAAAGCCCGTTTGACAGAAATGTTTAAAAAGTGTTGGGTTTCCTACGAATCCGCAAGAGCGCGCGGGATGAAATTTTGACAATTTTTTTTGAAAAACCATTGGTTTTTTGATGTTTTTATGTTAAAATCGCTACGAAAACTAAGGTTTTGGAAGGATTTCGTCTTGCGCGCGCGAATGTCCACTTTACCTTATTTTTTGCAAGGGATTCTTGAAGTTTGGTTATGTTAGAACAAGAAATGTCCACTTTAGCTTATTTTTTGCAAGGGAAAGCGGGCCGTAACAACACAACCGGATCCGGACCAACCCGTTTTGCCTGAGACTTCCTCACGAAAATGATGAAAATGTGGCTGCGGCCTAGGCGCGGCGGGGGGGTCGTGCACCAGGGGTCCCAACAATAATTATTCTTTAGAAGTAATAGTCTTCAACAACAACGACGACGACGACGACGACGGCGACGAGATGTAGGAGGAGATTGTGAGCAATAACTTCGGCAAAGCATGTGTCGATCTATATGGCAATCCTCTTACGAACGTGCTCAGAACTCTCTGTCGTGCAGGAGAGTAGCGCAGGGACGCTCACGGTATCCAGCCCGCCCAACAGCAGAGGGAAAGTAATCTCCAACGCGACGACGACGATGACCACTACGGCAACGAGTAAGACTACGATTACGACTACGACTCACAAGTCCCCTCGAGTGCAGGGTTGCCCACAATGGATTACTCCCTGGGAGAGAGAAGACCCCAACATGATCCAGCCCGCCCAACAATAGAGAGAAAATATAATCCGCCGCGACGACGACGACGACGACGACGACGTCGACGCAGACGCCGACGCCGACGCCGACGCCGACGACGACGATAACCACTGCGAAAAC